CCATCATAGGCAGGCGCGATCTTGGGCGTTATGCCTAATGATGCAAGCATGCGGTCAGATGTTGCATATGACTGTGCGACATAAGTAGCTGGACCTTGGGAGGTCTCTTCGTTCTCATATCCCCCGGAGGATTGGGAACTGCCGTCGGCTTCGCTATGCGAGCTCGACATTGTGCTGCCTCTTATCCGCTTGGTTAAGCGTTCGGCGAGGCCGACCGCTGTAGCGGACTTTGTGAGGCGGGCGGCCCTTTCCGGGCTCCGCTACCAGAAAACTGTGCCGATACACCCCCAAGGGATACTCCTTGTAGGAGGTGTATGACCAGTTATTCCCTAAGGATCAAAGGGCAGCGCCCTGCACACGGACAGTAGTTGTTTTGTCTTGCTACGCAAGGAGAGCTTGTCTTGTCTCAATATGGTAAAACCACTGTGAGCCAATGGGCAGCGGAATGTATATGTATGAGCATGCAGCCATTGCTGTAGGTACCTGTTAGAGCTACCCCTTTAGAGGTTTATGGTTTCACCCCCCCTCCCCCCCCCTCCCCCCTCCCTTTCTCTTCTCCCCCTCCGGCCCGTCCTCCCCTCTGCCCTCCTCGCTCGTTTTCCTTTTTTGGTTCCCCACCCTTCCGTCTTGTCCTGCCCTCGCGTGTTTTTTCGATTGCCTGCTCGTTTTCTTTCACCTTTTCTTCTCTTTCGGCCTGCCCCCGGCTCCACTGTCTTTTCTTCTTATGTTTCGTTTTTGGCTTCTTTCCTGCGTTGAAGCTCTCGTTTTGCTGTTTTGTTGCCCCTCGCCCCCCCCCCAGCCCTCCTCCCTCCCCGCCCCCCGGCCCCTTTTCCCACCCTTCCGTCTTGTCTGCACTTCTTTTGGCTTGTTTTGCTTCCTTCCCCCCCTCCCCCTCTTGCTGGCCCCCCCTTCCTCCTCCGGCCGGCCAGTCCACCCTTCCGTGTTGTCCTGGCCTCGCGTGTTTTTTCGACCTTTTCTCCTCTTTCGGCCTGCCCCCCACCGAGCCGGCTCCACTGCCTTTTCTTCTTATGTTTCGTTTGCGTGCTTTGGCTCTCCTGCTTCCTCCTTGAAGCTCCGTCGTTTTGCTGTTTTGTTGCCCCTCGCCCCCGCCCCCCCTCAGCCCCTCTTCCCTCCCCCGGCCCCCCTCCCGGGCCCCCCCCCGTCTTGTCCTGCCCCCCCCTCCCCCCTTCCTCCCCCATCTTGCTGTCCTCCTCCGGCTTCCCCTCGTTGTTTGTTTTATCCTGCTCGTTTTCTTTCCTCTTTTCTGCTCTTCCGGCCTGCCGCCCCCCGGGCCGGCTCCACTGCCTTTTCTTCTTATGTTTCGTTCGCGTGCTTTGGCTTTTTCGGCCTGCCCCCCCCGGGCCGGCTCCACTGCGTTTTCTTCTTATGTTTCGTTCGCGTGCTTTGGCTCTCCTGCTTCCTCGTTGAAGCTTCCCCCCCCCCGACCCTCCCTCCCTTCCCCGGCCCCCCTCCCCCCGGGCCTTCCCCCGGCCCCTTTTCCCACCCTTCCGTCTTGTCCTGCCCTCGCGTGTTTTTTCCATTGCGACTTTTTCGTGCACTTCTTTTTGGCTTGTTTTCTTCCCCCCCTTCTCCCCCCCACCCTTCCTCCTCCGGCCCCCCCTTCCTCCTCCGGCGTCCCATTGTTTTTTGTCTTCTGCCTGCTCGTTTTCTTTCACTTTTTCTTCTCTTTCGGCCTGCCCCCGGCTCCACTGTATTTTCTTCTTATGTTTCGTTTTTGGCTTCTTTCCTGCTTCCTCGTTGAAGCTCTCGTTTTGCTGTGTTGTTGCCCCTCGCCCCCCCCCCCAGCCCTCCTCCCTCCCCGCCCCCCCGGCCCCTTTTCCCATCTTGTTTGCACCTCTTTTGGCTTGTTTTCCTTCCTTCCCCCCTTCCCCCTCTTGCTGGCCCCCCCTTCCTCCTCCGGCCGGCCAGTCCACCCTTCCGTGTTGTCCTGCCCTCGCGTGTTTTTCAACCTTTTCTCCTCTTTCCGCCTGCCCCCCACCGAGCCGGCTCCAAGGCACGTCGTCGGCCAGACCACACGACTCGTCGACTTATCATGCATCACCAGGACCAAGCACTGGCATTGCTTCTGTATCTCATTCCTGCAACCCTTCTGCGCACTTGGGTTTTGCTGCATGTGTTTGCTCTACACTTGCCACACTTCTCCAAGTAGCCCTGACCCTGCAACTAAATTACACCTGCTTTCAGAGGCCCTTCGCAGTTTGGCCCCTGCTCTGCGCCCCTGCTGGCCCTACTGCAGCCGGCGGCCGAGGCGGGCTGCGTAGCATTAGAATTAGAATAGGGTTTTGGTGCCCCTTGTACTATAATCATAGTGAGGAACCCCCAAAATAGTATAGGCAATTATTAAGGCCCCTATATTATCTGATCCGACGAGATGCAGCCGTCCAATGACTGCAGCAAGCTGCGCATGAAACCTTGGTGCGACAATCGGGTTCCTAACTGATCATCTGCCGCAAAGCTTTCCCGACAGAATCTGAATCCAGTATTTCAGTGTGCTTTGGCGCAGCTTCTTCTGCCTCTCTTGAAGGTTGTCTTTCACGCATGTTGACAAATACATCTAAGCTACCGAAGAGGTCTCAGAACATCATTGTACAAGCTCACTGCTATCGGGATCGACTACTGCGGCTGCTCCCGCTGCTGCTGCCAATCCTCCTCCTGTCTGAGAACAGTAGCACAGACTAGGGACACCGAGAGAAAGTCTGGTACTCCTAGAAGCAGCTGAGCAACTCCGTTGTGGAGGCTCCCAAGCATTCCATGGCCTCCTGTGCGGCGAAAGGCCCCTCTCTATCACCTCATGCTTGGCTTTGAAGCTCCCTGTTCTTAGCTGGTGAACTCGCTTGCTTCGGATATTGTGGACTAGAGCATGTTTTGCCCTTTTGGCTTCGCTTGGTACAGTATGTCGCACTGTTCTTGCAGATGACTGTGGACGCTTGACCTTACTGGACCACACCTAAACCCTAAGCCCCAGACCTAAACGCAAGAATTCAATAGCAGCCCTTGGCTTCGCGTGCTCCAGGGGGGCACGCCTGTCGGCGGATCTGGGCAAGTTCCGCCTCGCGCCTCAGCCAGGGCGCAAGGTTGCTCGTACGATTGCCGTTACTGCGTTCTGGTTATGAGTTTAGTCTAAGCTACCATAATAGAGAGCCCAGATTATCATATAGGTAATCATAGCTAGAGCTAGTGATCTCATTCTTGCTATCACTACTATTGCAATTGTTGTGACCACTATACATTTAGTATCATGAGTATTGACTACGGCCATGGCTACAAATACGCATGGCTCATCTGTTGACTTGGCGTGATCCGTACTTTTTCCTCTGCTGATCTTTACAGTAAAACCACAGGGTGATATTTACGATGCTAGTCACACGCATTACATTTGCAGAATTACGTAGTCCATTGCTGTTGTCGTTGCTATGTGTGCCACACATTCTATGCTGTATCGTGATGATGACGGTGATGATGACTACGACGATGATGATGATGACAATGGTGATGATGGAAGAGTACGACCACGACGACAGTGACGATGATGATGATGATGATAATGAAGATGCTGATTGTGGCGATGGTGACTGGCGACTGAACCTAAGTATCAGCATCATTCTGCTTTCGTTGTCTGGTCACATCGTGCCGCGGTAAGGCACAATCGGGCTACATCGTTTGGGTGTGCGCAGGCAATGTGTCAGTTTTCTTCGAAAGTGTGGATAGTAACCTTTAGAATTAATGGCTGCCATGTTTGGGTAGCTACGATCCTGCGGCATGCAGGACTTTCACTGCTGCTGCGGACTTTCGCTTGCTCTTGGGACGGATAAGACTGCAGAGTCACACGATTTTCTGGGTTGTGCGCTACAGTACGAACAAAGCAACCACAACAAACACATAAATCAATGATAGCAATAGTTGCTCTCTTTGCGGAAATAACAGCACAAGGCTTGAAGATACATCGCCCTAAACCCTACACCCCACACCGCCTAAACCGTCACCCTAAACCCCTAAACTAAACACCCCTCGACCCCTGAACTCGAACCTCCGTTGTCTAGTTCTTGAAGCGCCTTAGTCTGGGCTCCCAAAGGGTTTCTTCCGAGCCCGGAGCCTCCGCCTTCCCACCCACTTGGAGACGAGGTGAGGCCTCATCGACGACGCGGCTTAGGGCTTAGGGTTTATGGCGCCTTTTTTTGAGGTGGTGGTGTTTATTATAGTATATATACATTATAATATAATATAATATAATAGAATATAATATAATATAATATAATATATTAAAATATAATATATTAAAATATAATATGATATAATATAATATAATGTAATATAATATAATATAATGTAATATAATATAATAGAATATAGTATAATATAATATAATATAATAAAATATAATATAATATAATATAATATAGTATAATATAATATAATATAATGTAATATAATATAATATAGTATAATACAATATAATATAATATAACGTAATATAATATAGTATATTATAATATAATGTAATATAATATAATATGATATAAAGTATGTATATATATATAGCATATATATATATATATAGTGTATATATATATATTGTATATATATAGTATATACATATATAGTATATACATATATAGTGTGTATATATATAGTAGACATTATGGTATATCATAGTAGACTATGGCAGACCATGGTATATTTACTGTAGAGATAATGGTATATTGTAGTATGCTAAAGTACATTATTGTAGAGATATACGTTGAGGGTTGAGGGTGTGATACGACCAGTGTTTGGCGGGCTCGGGTTCAGGCTGTCGACGTAGGCTTTATAGTTTAGGGAGTGTGATTAGGACAACTGCTATTTAGCGAGCGGGAAGGAAGACAATGATCAAGCTACTGCAGCTCAGTAACCTATCTTGTAGCAACAGCTACAGAAAAAGTGTGGGCAGTTCCTTCACAGATAGAACGTCTCACTATGCCTTTAGTCTCTCAGGAAGCGGCATGAGAGTCTTGTTCTTCTTGGCAAATCGGCAAGGAGTGGTCTCAAACATGTGCTCCGCAGTCACTTGCTCCAACACTTGGAGTTCTTGGCGGGAGACCCAGGAGATACAATCCTTGGTACGAAGACTTACACGTACACGGTGCCTTGATCTGCCCTTTCTTCTCGATCATTGCTGATCAGATTCCACTGGGCAGGAAGCTTTTGCCCAATGCAGATCCTCCTCGTTGTCTCCCCACTGGGCAAAAACCCGGGCTCGCGTATCATCGGCATCCATGCCTGCAGCAGGCAGACGCTGCACAAAAGGTACTAAATGCCCTGAGGCAACCATGCTCATACTGCTCCTCCTGCAGTTGCTTGCAGCTGGTTTTCCAGTAGCTTGCAGTTGGCTTTGCAATTGCTTGCAGTTGCTGCAGATGTTGAAGCAGCTGCTGCTGCTGCTGCTGCTGCTGCCACCACCGTCCTGTTTTCCTGAAGAAGCAGCAACACCAAATCTAGCCTAGCTGCATATTGTTCTCGGCGCGCACTCGACACATCGATTGCATGAGATGCATCGAAGTTCCTCGGCAATGTTTGTAAAACTGGCTCCACACAAGCACAACAAAAGCTTATGTCCGGCGCACACCACTGTTCTGACCCAGATGTTGCACGATAGTGCTGTTATAGGCTCGTCCACGAACAGAAACATCTGCTCGTCCCACCTCGGCGGCGGCTTTTGCAGACTCTTCTCACTGGCACGGGAATTCGAGAAGTGCTCGTGAAAGCCTCTGTCCTCCGGGGTCCGATTCGGGCACTGCCTGGACTGAGTGCAGACGCGTGACATCTCACCTCGATCCTCAGGTGGAACTCGCTCCCAGAGCGATCGAGATCGCCTTGCCCGAATGCTGAGCAAAAACTATGCATCAAGCTCTATGCCATACGCACTTCGCCCGCTTTCGGGTGGCGGGGCAGGGGCAAATCACGTTGCTGGTTATCGCAGCCCACAAAGCCTTTAAGCAGGTACTCAGGTCCATAAGTCTCAGCGATGCCACCATCAGGACACAGAACAGAGCCTCGTGCCGTTTTGGCGTGGAACGGCCCTATCTGCGCGACTAGCCCCTGTTCTACCCGATACTGACAAACCCTGAAACCATTTGCCCATTTTGCAACAGCTTAGAGGTTCAAGGTTGTTTAAACTCAGAATCAACAACAGCAGACGTGCTTTTGGAGGCCTGTCCCCCCAAGTCAGACGTTGTTTTCAGATCCTCACTGTAAACTCACAACCAGGGTCCTAGAAAACAAGCAACACATGCCTTGCCGCAATGTCTACACAGAGTCTACACAGCATTTGCAAAGTCGCTCCACACTGTAGGAATCTCTGTCCATGCCATAGGGCCATAGGAGCCAGTGGCAAAACCTATGAGACCGCCTTCCCCACCTTTATATCGGGTTATCGCTTTTGGGCGGGCACCTTCTCGTTCTGCAGAATGTCCAGATATCTATCTACAAGCGATCTGTTAGACACATTGGGCCTGAAGCAGCAGGGTCGAGGCTGCAAGGTTCTGGAAGGTAGTTATTGACTTCTGTCTCACCGGTTGAAGAGATGCTCGGGTCTAGTGCTTGGGGCTTCAAGTTGAAGCTTGTTCAGAAGAGGGAAAGTCCCCACATAAAACAAGCCACGTGGGCATGTGGTGGTTATGACTCCAAAACCAACCTGGCGGGCTATCGCTTTCGTTATCGATTTAGACACAATCTGAACAACATGCAACATGTGCAGAATTTGACCTCTCTCGCGATGCACAAGCTCCTCTTGATGTTATCCGCGGGTTATCGCTTCTGGGCAGGCGCCTTTTCGTTCGGCAATGTAAACGTTTCCATCCCGATGCCCAGGTAGGCCCGCGGACTATTCCTATGTACGGACCTTCGGACTCCGCCTGCCATTTCTTCCGGTAAATTGTGAAACCCTACAGTGTTTTCATTCACGAACTCCACCCTCGCATATAAATGTGCGTTTCCTGGGTTTAGCACATCCATGCCCTCATTCTTGCGCGGTAACATGGTGCTGAAAACGCATTGCATCTTAAGGGAGCCGTTGTCTTGCTCTTCTGTGCATCAGCTTCAAGAGCGTCCTGCATACTTCATATGTTTGCGGCCAAAGCGCACAGTGATACTTGTTCAAAGCGAGAAGGTGATAAAACTTCCCCTCTTTCACCTCGACGGTCACTTCAAACCCCAAAACCCTTAATCCCAAAACCCTTAATCCCAAAAAGCGCCCTCCACTGCAGCAGAAGCCGCGGGTGGCCAAGGTAGACTGGCTTTTGTTTGGTGCGCGTCTTCGAAGTCCATGGCCACCTGGGGCCAACTGGTTGCGGCTGTTCTCTTGACCATTGCTATCACACTAGTAATAGTAATAGTTAAGAACCATAATTACAATAATAATAATAATACTAATAATAATAATAGCTCCTCCTCCTCGTGCTGCGACTGCCTCTTTTCATCCTACTACCTACTCCTGCCTCCTACACTTCTAACCTAAGAGAATTTTGTCAACGGCAATAACAGCACCGGTTACAAGTGACAGTCAACATAACATATACCATAGAACCACCGCTGAAAACAACAATGAGAACACCCACTATAACTCACAGCCAGGCTTAAATGCCCCACAGTTTACTATGGCCTATGGAACACCACCAGAAACAACCTCAACCCCATGCCTTCTGACTTGGCACAAGTTGACTCTGAGACTCGAGCACGGGGTCGTTGCACTCCGGCTCCTCGTGATTCTCAAGAATCTCCATATCACGGCGGAGGCCTGAAGGAAAGTACAAGACCTAAACATCCCAAACATGCGCATGCCCACTGTCTGGGTCGTCACTTGCATGTCGCAACAGCAAAGGGGAGACAGAGGGGGAGGGAGCGAGACAGATCGGTAAGCAGATGGAGAGACAGACTGGCAGACGGGGACACGGAAAGATTCACACAAATGTAAATGGATTTGTAGATACACCTACATATTTCTGTATCTATACCTATGTCTGCCTCTATATCTGTATATCTATCCGCACATCTGTGTCTGTATGTGTTTATGTATGTGCGTATGTATGTAGGTAGGTAGGTAGATAGGCAGGTACGTAGGTAGGTAGGTATATATGTATGTAAGCAGGTATGCACTTAGGTATGTATGTAGGTATGACGTAATATTTCATTGTATCACGTTGTACCATGTTCTAGCATACGGTGCTTTCTTACTTACATTATAGCGCATTGCATAAGACTACACTATCTTGAATTACATTACATCACGCTTGCATATGTATGCTTCGCGTATACATATGCATATGCATCGAATATACATACTCATGTACATATGCGTGTACAATACATATACCTCTACATCGACATGTCGACTTATACAGCAGGTTGACGTTGAAGTCGCAAACAAGCGACTGTCATCATACATGGACCTCTTCTCTGGGTCCCGCAGGAGGTCGAACGCACCTCCAGGAAACATGTGGTTCCCAGTGTCGGATTGCTGGCATCGGGCGTGGGGCTTCGGAGTTGGGATCTGCAGTACCGATCCAACAATAACTGGAGAGCCAAGGCACTGTTCAGCAGCACGCTCACCTCCTGTTCATGCAAGGCATCAAGGCATAAACTTCACACACGGCTCCTTCGATACCCTGGGCAAGTACCACAACTTACCACAAGGCCACTACCCTTCAGGTCAGGTTGTGCGGCTCTTCGGTCTATGCATGTCTGACTACACGCAGCCCCTTTCTTGCGGTGCCTCCGCTTGTGCACCGGCAATGTCTGGATGGAACACCTTCCTCGGTATGCAAGGGGGCAGGCATACCCAAGGCTTGGAACGCGAGAGAATGTTCATGTGGAAGTTAGAAAACGAAAAAGCTTGTCGCTTGGACCGCGGAGCTGTTTGGCGAGGTAAGCCTTCCGGATGGTTGTGGCATCCGCTCGGTGATCAACCTGAGCTGAGCCAGAACAAAATTGAAGGTCTGTAAGAGTACTGCGGATGAGGGACACCCAGGAACTCGTAGAGGGTGCGGGGAATATTCCTCGGATCTGTATGCCGACAAGGAAGGCAGAGAGAGAGGAACAAACCAGCTGGTCGGCTATGGTCTGCAATACGGAACCCATAAAACAAGAATGTGCTGCGTTATCGATCCTCTATCTCATCTCTGTCACATTGAATTACGATTATGCTGAAGATTGTCCGCTAAGCTAAGCCAAGCTTCCCATATCCAGGTGCATGCATTCCAGGTGCATGCATTCGCTGGGCTGTGCAGCTGCGGGAGACTTTGCGCTTTTGGAAACCTGCGGGCCATTGAAGGTATTCGAAGGTTGAGGGGGCATCGAGGGCTTTTTGTGAAACCATCGAGAGCTTTTCCCTAAACCCTAAACCCTAACCGTTATGGGGCTTCTGCTGCCGAAGGCCCGCCTTTGCGCACCACACTGCTCAACAGCGCCAGAGGAATTGCTGCTTCGGCCGCCAATGCCACCCTGCATTCCACTCTTTTAATGCAACAACATATGACTGAAGTAGTACAGTATGATATGTGATCTTCGCAACCTACCGGAATCCATCGGGTTCAGGGTTTCGGGTTTGAGTGCGAACTGAAGTCATCAGGCCTGGATTTGCAGGCTCCGAGACTCGGCAAGTTGGAGTACCAGAACCTGCCGGCAGGGATTGACAAAATGGTTCAATCATATACGATTACCAATATCACATGTGCTAAGTGTGTACTCTCATGAAATAATTATACTCGAGAATGAGATGATGCAGGTGCGATCCACTCTGAGGGAGCCGAAGACTAAGGCGCGAACGCATGCCCGGAACTTGGAAGACTGCTCCTGTGCGCAAGGCTGCAGCTCAAGAGCCTATTGTTCCCGTGAGCTCGCTTACCGCAGTCAAGTGTCTTGCCGCTGGTCACCAAAAGCCCGGCGACTTGTGCCATGGCGCCAAGGTATGGGAGGCTCGAGGGCGGTGGGATCCCACCTTCAAGCTCAACGAGAATGGACGCAATGACAAAAGATTTGAAATTCTTGGGTTGGGCGGGCCATTCGCCATACGTTCGCCTCCCAGTGCCTTGAGCCAAAGAGTTTCGGTGCGTGAGCCGCTACTTGTCGGGACGACCTCGTCAGCCATGATGGCAAAAAAATCAAGTGATGGCGGTAGTGCTGGCCATGAGGATGATGGCAACGAGAATGATGACGAAGAATCACGACGGCGACGACGGCGATTCGGGTGATGCTGAAGATGATACGATTTTGAGAATGATGTTTCTGATAGAGGACGACGATGATGATGAGGGCGGTGGCGGTGGCGGGGAGCGGCGGTGGCGGTGCCAGTGGCGGTGGCGGTGGTGGCGTGGGTGGTAGTGATAGTGATGGTGATAGTTTTGGCGATGGTGGCCTTTGGCAAGAAGTTGCCCGGTCTTGGCCACGAGGCCAAGGCTACATTTTCTGACCCCTAGCGTCGCGGATCTGTGGCAGTGGCCCGTCGGGGCAGTTGCTGTGGAAATGCCGGCTCTCTTGTTGCAACCTTGCGCAGGGCCAGCTCAAACCTTTAACAGGAACCAGCGTTCCAGCTTTGACTGTGAAACTATAGTACACTTGGAACACGGTAGTTTGAGCATCGGGCGCCTCAATGATGCTGGTGGTGCTGGTGGTACTGGTGGCACTGGCGGTACTGGCGGTACTGGCGGTACTGGTGGTACCGGTGGTACTGGTGGTACTGGTGGTACTGGTGGTACTGGTGATACTGGTGGTACTGTACTGGTGGTACTGGTGGTACTGGTGGTACTGGCGGTACTGGCGGTACTGGCGGTACTGGTGGTACCGGTGGTACTGGTGGTGGCGGTGGTGATGACATTGGTGATGATGACGGTCGTGACGATAATGGATATGCTGATGCCTGCACTGCCAGTCAGTTATCACTGCTACCAGGAACAGCATTCTCACCATAGCGCAACTGTTGTCTGCAGCATCAGGTTGGACACTGCTGCTGCTTCTATTTCTGCTGAGGTCAGTATGAGTCAGTATGAGTGCTAATTGTTTTTGTCCGTGACCGTGTGTTGCTATGGTTGCATGTTGTGCTCATGCCTGTTGATGCAAGTGTTACTCTGGTAGTCATTGCTACTGCACACACACGCATGCCATGATCGCTGTTGTATTGTTAGCACGACTGTTGTGACAAATCCTCGTTTGCCTCTGGCATCTACATTTCCAAGATCACTCTCGGCACTATTGTCAACATGCCACTTCTTGCTGTCGTTATCGATGCTCTTCGGGGATGGTTCTTTCTTGAGTTAGTATCGGTTGCTGTTGGGACCAGCACTGCATCGACGTCAGTGCCTTCTTTGTCAAGGTTGATGTTGTTGTTGGTACCGGTGTGGCCGTCAGAGTTACCAATATCACGCTTAATCTGACTTTCTCAGCTTTATGATTAATGGTTACCAAACTGACCTCACCCGACAGTTCCAAGACAAAACTGGGCCCACGCAGGAAAAGGCTCACAAATTCAGACGAATGAACTCTCAATGTGTCTGCTTGTGGTCATTCCACGAGGCGGCCCGGTGAGACCTCTCCAGACCTCACCGTGCCACGGGAGAGCAGTTGTCGCGCTTTGGCTCAAGACTGCCATGGTCTCAGCCTGCACGATTGAGATTTAATCGGGTATTTAGTGCAGACTCACGCAGTTGGGTCAGAACAGCCCATGGCAATCGTGCTCGCGTGCGCGTGGAAATTGAAGTCACTGATCGAGCGCGCGCTCAAATGTGAAAAGTCAAAGTGAGAGCGGAAGCAAAGACTGGGAACAGCAGCTGGATGTATCGTCCTCGCAACGTTTCGTTTGTTGCTCGAAGCAAACGGTGATAACGTGACAATGGAAGCCGGCATGACCGCAGTCTCAACCAGAAAGAGTCTGAGTAGCATTCGTAGCAGCAGCGGGAGGATCTTCGAAACAGGACACTTACGAATACGAAAATTAGCCTTGCGGTTTTGGAGAGCTCCAGGGCTTCAGATTTCGGAGCCTTCAGGCTTCGATGCTTCGGGGCTTATGACCGGCAAGCTGACATGAAACCTGCGATCACAATCCAGGGTCTAATATCTAAAGCCTTCAGCAGCTACTCTTAGGGTGGCCCAATGCTTGGAACCCAAGATTCGAGTCCGCGCCTGCTTTTCAGGCTGAGCATGTCCACAGTAGGTGAGACCTCGATGCTTGTTCAGGTCTTCGGCAGTTGGCTTGTTGTTGGAGACTTCGAGTTGGGCACCTTGGGATTACGGGTTTGGGGACTTGTGGCTTGAGTCTTTGGGTGTGAGACTTTCAAGTATATACCTGCAGACTAGGTCTTTGCCTGCACAGGCTTTAATAAGGGTGTCACTAGCCTGTACCATCGCAGCCCTTCCGGTGACGAAACTGGCTTTCTGCCAACTTCTGCAGTTCATTTTGATCGGATCGTAACCACCACTTGAAAATAATCAAGCCGGCTCGTGCAGTGATTTCAACTGAGAACTCATATGTATATATATATATATATATAACATGACAACGCTCATCGTTGGCACTAGAATAGTGAAACTAGCATCGACTAGGAACAGCTGAACTCGTGAAGGTGTCAGCATAATGACAAAGTTGACCCACTGGTGTGGGAAGACTTACACCCTTCCCTTTTGCAACTGCAGTTTCTGTCCTTTCTTCAGCTACCATACTGAATATCTGTAGTTCCGCACTGGCAACTAAGCCATCTACCTACGTCAAACAGCCTGAGAAAGAAAACTAGCGAACCAGTTATCGATAAACTGGCGAATGCACCCGTCTTATCACATGCGAGAACTACAGTCTACTAAACAAGTGCATGCTGGACTACATATACACATGTGCAAACTGGTGGAATCATTGCATACGCGCGGACATGTGTGTATTCATGCATACAAACACGCGCTCATTCACAGACATTCATCCGCATGCACTCGCATGTATACGCATCATGTACATCCTATTTGCATGTGTATGCATACACATATGTATACACGTGACACCTTCTAACATCCGCGATGTCAAGAATCGCATGCCTCGACTCCGGCCAGTCTACGGCGTGGGTGCCGAAGGCACATAGGCCGCCTGCAGTCGCAAAGCAACGAGCGGCGACTTTCTTGGGTTGGTCACAGTGAACATGGCAACATCGAGACAGATGCACGTAGAAAACGAAGAAGCGTAGCCCCCTAAACCCTGAACCCTGCATTAGGTAAACCCTGCATTAGGCTAGCAAAGACCATCTGGAAAGCCAAACTAGCGACACCAAGAAGTCCAGCTGAATGTCGGAGAGTCGATCATGATGTTGTGGCTTTCAGGCTGGGGCTAACTTTCACCCGACTTCCCAACTATAAGATTTTACAATGTATAAGTAAATCTGATGTCAATATTCTATATATTATTATATTATGTGTATTTATCTAATTGTCTGTTTATTTATCTTCTTCTCAACAAGGGGCGGACCCTCCGTCCTCCCAAGCACAGCCTGGAAGGGCAACCAGCGACTCTTCGTCTGCCATAACGCCAACTTTGGGCCGATAAACTCCATGACGCCCCATTCCTGTAGGCTTTTAGGGTTTAAGGAGGGTTCAGGGTTTCAGGGTTTAGGGTTTATGGTTTTGGGGTTTAGGGTTGTGCCCCATTCGTCTAGGGTTGCACTTCGCTCTAGTCTAAGATGTCAGGAAGGAAGGTTTAGGTATCGGTATAATTGTTTGGGGGTCCAGTTTACAGTCGAGCTCTGGTGTGAGCCTAGAAGTTGGGTTTCACGTGTTTCGAGTTTTGTGCAGCCTTTTCTTCTTGCGGAGAGTGGGGGGGAACCCATGCTGACTGGCTACCCTAATCTCCTAAAGCCTAGAACCGGGAGTTCAATAAAACCCCGAAAACAAACCACGCGTAGCAGCAACAAGTAGAGGTAACAGTGGTGGGGCTACTAGTAGTGGTAGTAGTAGTAGTAGTAGTAGTAGTCGTCGTCGTCGTCGTCGTCGTAGTAGTGGTAGTAGTAGTAGTAGAAGTAGTAGTAGAAGTAGTAGTAGTAGTAGTAGTAGTAGTAGTAGTAAAAGCAGTAACAACGGCAGCAGCAGCAGCAGCACAAGCAGCTTTATGATGAAGAAGAAGATGATGCAAGCTCATGTGCGCGCTTCTGCATCGGGCGGACCCATGCCGGCATGGCTGCAAGCTACCTTGCCGTGACATTGTCGTGAGGTCGCAACATGCCGCACCGGGCCTTGTCCAAGATTGCTTTGATCTCGCGAACAAGGTCACGTCGGACCTGTTCAGCACCGAGCGGAGACCGTACTTCACACAAGCTGCCTGTGGACGCAGACAAGCGAACGACTGCGCCTGCGACGCGTTCTCGCCCTCGACTGGGAACACCTACCACATGCTGCGTTGCTATAGCGTGCCGGATCAACTTCCCACGACGGCGATCGCAGTAGCTGTAGCAAATCGTCAAGGTGCGTGTTCGACTGTACCCTCAGTATCTAGCGCTCAGCTTCACAATAACGACATGATGCAGAGTTTCTGGTGAGACCTCCCGAACCAAATAGATCGTCACACCAGACTCATGTTCACTGAAAAGCTGGGCTGCTTTTGACTGCGGATGTGGTGCTCACATAGGCAGACAGTAGCTGCTGTTACCTGGACATGAGCTTGCGAGCTTGTAGCCTCATAGGCAAAGGTCAGCGTCAGCATCTCTCGCGGAACCGCAGCATTTCGCAGCCCACTGGCCTTTCCACGGCATCTTGCAATTGGCAATCTAGAAAAAGAGAACAGTGGGAGTATGTTGGGCCCTGTCAGTTTGTTTAAGGACGACTGCCTGCTGGACCTAATGCTCGGTGACCTTGCCTGCTGCACGGCAGCAACCCAAGAGGAGACCTCAATCACATGGGGATGTTTAATAGCGTGTTCAAGTCCTGCTGTAAT